TGGAGGTAATAACCCGTTAGCGAGTTTCGGCCTGACGCAGCATATCTCCAAGCACCTTTGCTGCGTGGGCGCCTCCTCCAGTCTCGTACATCAAGTCCAGTTAGTGTTCCCTCAACTTGATCACTTCACCGTAGACACAGTCTACCTCTACGTCTTCTTTCGTCAACTACTGCTTCAAACACCTTTTTCGCTGGATCATCTTCATCCATTCTCACGACATGACCATCTTAAGGTTATTATTTGTTATATTATAAATGAGTGTTGGGCTATCAGTCAGATTTTGTAATTTGGTTTTTTAATAAAAAATTTTTCTTATTATTTTACTTATTTAATATTTATTTCCGACGTTTCGGTTTTTTAAAACCATCATCAGGGAAAAAAATTTTCCACACAAAGAAAAACCCCGAAGCCACCGAAGAACAACTCTTTGACTGCTGATTTATTTCCAGCTATTATTTTTTTTCTATTCTGGTGCACTGCACTTTCCCTTTCAGAACTTTCTCTCACAATTAATCTTACTAAGACTATTATTCAAACTATGTTTTATAGCATTTTTTAGCGTTCTCATATTAAAATTAATTTAAGTTGAATTATTTCTTTTTTTGGAGACTCGCGTGCCATTTATAATCATTTTTATACATTTTTCCCACTTCAGTGGATGCGGCCGGCACATATGCAATCAATCATACGAAGAATAAACGTGAAACCCAAAGCGGCAGGAGTGCGTAAAACCAAAAGCAGTTACCGGAAAATGCGGGTGCTGTGAAATTGGGCTAAAACCGCAGACGATTTTCGAAAAGTGAAACATATGGAACAAAAATCGCTTAGTGTTCTTATTTTTTTAGTGTTTATAAAAACATTTTTTTAAATATTATTCTAGCAATTTGTCAATGTCTCTTACAATGGCTTTAGAGCTTCTACTAAACTACAGGTCAACGTGTATCTATCGAAAATCAAAATTGAATATTTAACTTCTTATGCGAGTACATATTGAAGTTAATTTGCTAACCTATTATCAATTACAATGCACATAAAAAGTACAAAAGGGTTAAGTCTGCTACCTTCAATGAACATTAATCAAAATGCTTTTTGACTTTTTATTGGTCACTCAGATCTCAACCCAACTAGACATTATGGGGTCACTTGTAGCTGACATTTTAATTAAATTCATACCTTTTTCCTCTTCCCAAGCACAAATACGTTACTCTCATATTTAGAGTGTTTATGTCAACATTCGATCCAGGAGTACATTAATCATGACTGTATAATACATTAAAAAACTGTAGAGATGAGGGCTTTTAAATAAAGTCATAATCGAAAAATCGATATCACTGCAGACGATTTTGTATAATAAAAAGAATTTTTGCCAAAATTTATTTAAAATAAATTCCTTTTTTCATATTTCTCAAGACATTTAATAATTTTTAATTGATATTGAGTAATTTAGATACGTAAGATATTGTTATTGGCGTAAAGATAAAATTTATTAAATAAACACATTTTTGCATATATTTATATATCTATACAAATGGATGTATATTTAAATAAAATAATATATTGATGTATTAAATTACATCTTTGTATTTATGAGGTTACAATTCTTTTGTGATTCTTCATTAATTTATTAATTATTTATTTTCATTTGATACATTCAATTTGTTACTCTACACACTAATAACTCAGGCGAACAAAGATACGTTAAGCCACTTAATTAATTCTGTGATAATGCCTCATTCATATTTAAATTCAGACATTAATAAAGATTTATAGATACAAAATTAATAGTTCGTTTGGCTTTAGTTTGTACTCATACTTCAAACTACGTTTGTTCGAGATTTATGGGCTCTTCTCAGACACTTTGTCTGCCTTGAGTAAGCTGGCTTACTAATTGTGTTTAGTGTGTCTAATGTGCGTATCTCGCTTTAACTGCTGTCTTAGAATAAATTACACGTTCCTTCCTGAAAAATAGTACTTATCATCGCTTTTTCGCTGTTAGTGGCTCTAAAAGATTTAATTGCTCAGGTCAATATTGATTCAAGCTACTGAAATTTCTAGCAGACGTTAGCGCAAATATTGTATTTAGCACTTTTGGTCAGACACCTGCTTAAGGTTGGTATTGCCTTAACTCTAAAAGGAGAAAAATCAGTACTTAAAGTAATGGAAAGGTGTCGAAGTGATTCAATAATTTTCATGCTAACAATATTGTATAAATCAAGAAAATACATCTTTAATAAAACAGATTCAATATAGTTAACCAAAAACAACTAGTGTAAAATTTTTGTTAGTGTAAATTTGTAATTCACTTTCGTCAGAGATTATATTTTATATAATGACGTTACTTTAAGATAAGGTGTAGAGGGATTATGAGGATGTTCTCATGGGTGCAGTTAAGGCTGCTGCTTAATCAATCACAATTTGTGAGACTCTTGTCATAAGACAGTATTGCTGTATAATCTAAAGCTTAGACAATTACCAATAGTATTGAGGAAGCATTCACAGAAGGCTCTGTTCTTCGGAGCCTGTGATCGCGTTGAGTAACGCTGCCAAGAATGACACACATTTGTGAAAGTCAACTGTGTAAGTAACATGTTTGCATATTGTCAATCCTAACCATCTTGTAATAATCATGTAATAGATTATTCTATATAGGAAAAATTCAACAACTGTTTATATAAATAAAATTAATTATATAAAATATTGATATACTCCAAATGTATTCTAAAGGTACGTAAATCCGCGTTGGATTTATCTACGATATTCTTGTAATCGGAATGAAATATATGTTACAGCTTATTTAGTTTCAGCGTATTTATCATGACTTTTCGAAAACAGTTCGGAATGAGTTATATCTTAAAATTAAAGGAAAGTCTTTTACTTTTTCTGGAGCCCAAACTTTAAGTAGATCGATTCAGGTTGGTTTTCTTATAATCAACAATCTTTTCTAAAATTTAAAAAACTCAAATGTAAAACTTATCAAATTAATTACAATTATAAATATTTAATATTTATATATGAAAAATTAAAAATATGAAATCTTCATAGTCGAATCCAAATTTATTACCTCACAAACAGATGTTCAATCATTTTCGAAATGACTAAATGTATTTCTTTTAATATTTCTCTAAGACATTAGGCAATTAAGAGATATTAGCAATAACAGATTATCGCATTCGGATTTAGTCGTACTAATGATTTTAAACAAAAAATAGTGCTAATGTCAATGTCAAAACTGACATCACTGCCACTAACCGTGAATGTAAACAAACTCACCACAAAATGACAGAACCATCGGCTGCGGCCACATTAGCCAGAAACAGAATAAAAGGAGGCATTTAACGTTGCTGCTTCTGGGTCTGCTCCCAATGATGAATGTCTAAACAATTTGCAATTATGAATTTTGAAAAGAATGAAAAACTATTAAAGAATACTTAAGTCAACAAACAATATACAAAAGTGGCAAAAAAATAAATCATCAAGAATTGTAAATTACTCAACAAATAGCAACTGACAGAATATCGAATATTTTAACAGATTTTTACTAAAAGCCACTCAGGGCCAAATTATCACATTACGAAGTAGCAAATCCAAAAACAAAATATCGTATTTAAATATTTATGAACCTAAAAACAGCACTTAATTCATACTAAAACCAATTAATCTCATTTTAATTAAGCATAAATAAATATTTCCAAAAATATGTCTACAAAATTAATTTACATATTTCTGTTTGAAGACGCTGCTAAGACTCTCAGTCTACAATCTAAGCAGCAGACTTAAGATACTTTTTCTGTTATCTTCTGGTGCGCTAACAAAATTCAAAAATAAATAAATTAGCGAGTATGAAAAGATGTGAACAAATCCAAAAATAAATAAATAAAAACGATGAGAACATAAAAAACGAATTTGTAGTAACATTTATCGATGGCATTTCGCAATGCTCCCAGGGGAAATTAACAAAACGGTTGCGTTTAAACCGGAAACTGGAACGGGGACAGGAACGCGCCGCAATAACAGTAAATAACGTATCGACATGTTTAAAGGACGTTGCGAACGTAACTTCTAGGTTATATGGGCGAGAAAGGTTTATTGGAAAGTTATTAGTAGAATTGAAATATTTGCATTTTAAAAGGGATTTTATAAAGTTATTTAAGACGTCAGGAAAGTTTTTAAGTAAAATGAAAAATGTTTGCAGACATAGGCGTTTAGGAAACTACATTATAATGCATATTAATATGATATGATAATGATTAAAATTAATTACGTTTCTTAGGATGCAAAAAAAATCTTGCAAATAATACGGCCAAAAAATTGGTGTTACTAAAAACGACTAGAGATATAACTAAAGTAACTAATAAACAAGAAATACACCTGAAAAACCCTTGCCGGATAAAAAGAAGAAAACATCTCCAATAACAACAAGATCATCTGATCCAATTGGAATAAAAGATGATCCAACCAAATGTGCAGAAGTTGAGTTTCTGTATCTACATTCCTAGAAATAATAATGAATGATTTCTAATAGAAGTCCATGAAAGAGACTTTTATCGTAGAAATAACTAATGGGGTTAATCTTTTGTCGTAACTCCAATAGCAACGATGAAGAATAAGGCGTACACCCTATGTAATCTTAAGATTACTAGAAACACTATCGATAGACAACCCATTAACCAATATTTTACTAAAAATCATTTTGATTTTTAAATTTAAAAATAAGGAAATATGGCATAGAACCCTCATGTGAACGAAATCCCATTTATACATCCCATCCTAAATACATGAGTAAAGATGATGCGATGGTAGTAGGCTGCTACCAGAAAACTTCTCTTTTGTGTTTTAAAATAATAATAATTTTCTGCATTTATATATATGTAAGAAAGTCTATACTACTGTACAAGTGATATTATCTACTATCCCTTGTAAATATTTGCCTTTACAGTATGATATAATACAATTTTTATTTCAATATCAAAATAACTGTATATTTTTTTTTTCATTTTCAGTTTGCAACTGCAATAATCACGCTCGCCAATGTCGCTTCAATATGGAACTCTTTAAGAAGTCAGGCCGTGTTTCCGGTGGAGTTTGTCAGAACTGCCGTCACAACACTGCTGGTCGTTATTGCGATTACTGCAAGGAAGGATATTATCGTGATCCCACGAAACCATTGAATCATAGGCGTGTTTGTAAATGTAAGTAAATTGAGAATACCTATTGATCTATTAGAGATAAGTAAATGGCGGAATAATTTTTGATTTTATTAATTTATCTGTTAATTAATATACAAGTAAATAAAACCCGAAGTTTACAAATTTACAAATTGACAAATTTTTTCCATCGAAATGTTTAAAATCAAATCATTACTAAAATGCTAATTGCAAGTGATTCGTATCATTTGTCAAGTTGATTTTAATTAAGTTGGTGCTAATTTAAATTGCTCATAAAAATATTTATAAATTTTTTAAAACAAATATTTAATGCAATTCGTTGCATATTAACAGCATTTCCATTTGATTGAGTTGTTTATTTTAATTTAGAGGCGCTTTGATATCGGAAATTAGCATATTTTGCATATTCATGAAAATGATTTTTAAAAACAAATATTTGAAATGCAACGCGATGTCGCCCATAGGGAATAGAAATAAAAATAAAAACTCAAATTTATATGTATCTATAAACATATTAATATAAATAATTTAGAAACTAGTTTCTGTATTACTCAACTTCTTAATATACTTTTATTAATGCAAAATTAATTTATTCATTTATCTAAATGTCAGCAATAAATGAGAAGAAATCTTTGGATACATCTTTGGATGTTTCCATTTAAATTTTTAACAAATTTCCCACTTCCAATAAAAAACTTTCCAAGTACTATTTTCATTTTTCAAATGAAACACAAACAGTTTAAAACATATAATTTTAGAAATCTTGTTTTAATTGTTTATAATTGAAATTCGAAAAAGAAACTCAAATGAGTTCATTTTAAAAATGAGGCAAAGTAAATCTTTGAAATGCTTTTAACACTTCACAAGGAAATCAACATATAAAATCTAGTAAGTTTGTATACATCGAGAAAAGTGTAAAAAATAAAAAAAAACAAAAACAAAAATTACTCACATTAATTAAATTTATCCAACTTAAGATACATCTACGAGCTGTTAACTACACAAACAAACGCACTCAGGCAAACTTAAAATAATAAATCCTGCGGATAGTGTAAACACAACGAAAATAAATTCTACAAAAAATAAATACCAAGAATATTGGAACAATGCACATTGGCAAAGCTCAAAGGTGATTTTTATTTTCTGCAAATTATTGGAAATTATAAATTAATGAGTTTGTGCGAATTTGCCCCACTACAATCAGTCATTTTGACTTCATATAATAGAGAATATCAATTTATACAAGGCACAGTATATAGACTTGTGTCTACAAAATTAAATTTAGAAAATAATCTTAAAAGAATGGAAGAATAGAAAATAAACACGCTACTGGCTGCCAAAGAGCGGCACACTTCGACCATCATTGATTCCTTGTGTTACTATATTTACTCAGTAAGTCAAGCTTACTAAGTCAGCAGTGGAAATGTACTATTACTGATCCGAACTAAACAGAAGATACGCCATATTTGGAATGAAAGCTAAAATGTCAGCTCTTGAGGACATCCTAACTTCGGACAGGGATGTGTGAACTCTTAACCTAGCCCAGAGTAAAGTAAAGTCACAGTCAATATTACTAAAGGTCTCACCTGCTTTCAAACAGAGATGATGTGCTATCGTTTCAGACCCATCTTGTTAAGACGAAACTCAGTTCCGTTCTTCCTCCAAAGTTGAACGGATGCAACATCTCCTTAGCCCGGCAATCACCTTATGTAATCCGACAGTACCAACATGTTTTGACCACAAACCACTTTTCTATCAGAGACCCTTGTTGCGGATCACGCCTAAGAAAAAGTTTCTTATAATTTTCAAGACAAAACCATAGCCTAATGAAATCTGTGCTATTCAGAAAATAGAACAACTGTAACATTGGATCTCTCCAACAACAATGAAGCATTATTATACAAGTTTCTTTGAGTCAATTCAGCTTATCGGTTTATATAAACATGTTGTGCAGCCTTATAGGCGCACATGACGACACCTATAATGGGTGACTTTAATGTAAAAGTAGGGCTGGAAGTATAGCTTTATATATAGTAAGTTACTGTTAAGCATTCGTTGTACAATTAGTTATTTAGTTGCAGTACAAATAAAACATTGTGTTAATGAAACTTTGGGAGCCTCTCCAAAGGCCCACCTTCATCATTGATATTTTCAAATTTTTTCTCAACGGCAATATCTCTTAATTAAATACTAATTCATACATAGCTTTTATCGGACTACATACAATTGTTTTGTAAAATCTAAAAATATTTTATTTTAAATTAAACTCTTTTACGTCACGGTATGCATAGTAATCAGAAATGATTATATATAAGTATTATGCTTCTATTGTTGAAATGCAGTGATATTTCAGATATTTTGTTAATAAAATGAATAAAAAAATTAACTGAAAAATGCAGACATTGTAAATCAGTATATCAGTCAACAACTTAAGTATTGTACTTTTTCAATAATTATTAAAATTTAATATCATATTTATCTGTAATGAACCTCAATGTCAAGTGTTTAATCTATAAAGCGATTGTTTGAGAAACAAGGTTTTAAATCGGTGATTTTTATTGCCGCTACATTTCGACACTCCTACAAAGTTTCCCTTTTATTACCAATAAAAATATTATTGATAATATTAAATATAAGATTTGCTTACAAAATTATATGCGTGGCAAGCAAAAGTTATAAATTTTATGTATCTTAAAAATTAAGACCAATAATCGCTAAAGGTCCACATAAAGCCAATAAGCAAATGCGTTTCGTTTAGCAGCTGCAGTAAAAGATACATTTGAGCTCAAATAAAATTAAGTTTAATACACTTAAGCCGAGTTCAGCTGGGCTTAAACTGCTTTGCGGTTTTTTGTTAACTGACAAAGCGAAAGAAATTAACAAAATTTCGGAGATTTTGTTAACTTTTCGCATGAAATTAATTAAAATTCGATAAGTTTTTGAACTTTGCATTAAATTAAGTATGCACAACTGTGAACGCAATAATTTCAGGACTTATGAATACCGAAACTTTTGCAATTTGCTCAGATTTATGGGCGCAACAGAAGTTTTGAATTTTTTTTTAGAAGGTAAGAACAATAATTGTGATTCATTACAGGACGAAGAACAAAGATTTCTTTCTTTTGTATGACATAAATCATGGAACACAATCTTCTGGTATGATTCAAGTAATACAGTTTTCGGTTGGCCTAATTATTGGATTTGCTTTATTACCTTTTCACTTTTACTGGATGTTTGTTTTCATTTCTTTTACTAAATTATAAAATATCTCTGGACTTTTTTAAATGCGTAATAAAATTCTTGAAAATAATATAAATTTTAATGATGTATTAATGGCTTGATCTAAATTAATCAAGAGTGCCCCTGCAAGCATTTACGTCACTATTTAAGAATTGAAATTACTGGGTTCCTGGAAATATGAACATTAAAGGGAATGAGAAGCTAACAGTTTAGCACACTTTGTTGCTTTCCTGGATGTGTTCCTGGTAGTACCGGTTTATATTACTCTAGAGACCATTAGGAGAACTACTTATAACTTCCAAGTTAACATGGTCCACCTATAACAAAATTAGATCCTCGAAACTCATGAAAAGAGACCGCGTAAGTCTCAGAACTGCAAGGCTTACTGCAGTTCTTTTTGGTCATTGATGGATAGAAACCCACGCAGAGAAAATGCGCGTTTCTCAGAATTCTCATTGCAAAAATTGTAGAAAGGCGCAGGAAAAATTAACCACTTAACCATTACATTTTCTCTGTGAAAGTCCGGGTTGGGCGTCCAGAAGAAATAGCTTTTTAGACAAATAGACGAGTGACCAATTAAATTAACTAAATTCGAGGGAATTGATTTCGTACCTACTCTTCTATATTAAGAGTTCTTACGAGGAATGTGGTAGCAAAACAGCGAAAAATCACTAATTCATGTACATTATCAAATAGCCTACCACTGCAATCAACCAACGAATTGATAATAAATATTTCTTATTATAAAAACAGAATTTCTCTTAAAATAAAGATACTATAACAAACCCAACAATCTATATAATTATAAACCTTGGCACTATTGATTGTTATTAAATATTTTCGACTTCGATTTCTATCACATCTTCAATATTCAAGTATTTCAAAAAGTTAATGTAAAGTAAATCAAACTTTAGCGAAGTAAGATGTTGTGTTCACACTAATGAAATTAAAATGAATAATGATTGGCTCTATAGACTTTGAAAACAGAAGTTCCATATCCTATGACAAAAAGAACAAGTCTGAAAATCCCTGTGGCTCTTTATTGTGTTAAATAAAATATAGTCTTACATTATTATTACATAGTGATATCACGTGTACCAAAACAGATAAAACAAGATTTATATGTAGAACATAACCTTACTTTCAAAACAGTTTATTTATACCATAGTATGCCATGAATTGTTTAAAAATCATTTCATAGTAATAACTTATGTATTTTAAATTTTATATTTTCATATTTATTTTTCATATCGTTCGACAACTTACAAAATTTTTCTGGTGAATAAAAATTGAAGAAATCACTTTTTGCCTAATTAAAGTGAATTTTTTCGATTTGATTTTACATTATATATTTTTCTACCATCATGTGCATATCAGTAGAAGAATTAAATCATTATTGCATAAAATATTTAAAGAAGAAGAAGCACCCGGTCCCATTCTCGACTTTACTCATGCGTGTTTCCGCAGCTTTCAAGGTAAGTCACCTCACATCGTCTCAATCGATTTAAATTTAATTATGTGATTCCTACAGACTGATTTTAATCGCTTGCGTGGTCCTCTGGTTGGTGTGCTTGAAGATAATATTGTTTTAGGCAATGTTAGTGTTTCCAAGCATGGTGATGTCGCCTTAACCCAACTTTTTTTGACTACAACAAAGTAAGTCTGGTGTGATTTGGAGAGCGGCGGATTTAACCAACTTTAAGATGAAGGGCCCATGCTAGATGAATGTTTATTGACTGGTTGCATTCACATCTCTATCGGGGATGATTACGAACTTTTGTTTA